CCATATGAACGAAGGACAAAGATGTATTTTTATTTATTAGTGCATCTAAAAATTACATTGTACGTTTCTCTGAATGATTGAGAGCACGGGAGCATTATTCTTTACACTTGTGACGCTCTCTAAACACATCAAGGGCCACGTAATATCACGGCAGTAAACTCGAAGGCATGGATCGGATATCCTGATGACGTGGTTATGCGGATGACATCTTCCTGGTGATTGGCGCTGGAGAACAGGCTGCTACACCAAACAGCTTCAATATTATCATCATCAGCTGCATTTTTCTATCCACTGTTGGATGACTGCCTCGTCAAGATTGTACATATGATTCTGTGTTCTGCGAATCTTACCCACTTTCACCACTTAATTTCCTCAACTCATTTTACCATCCATTTGGAGATATTTTCACACACCGTCTACTGTATCATGAGCTGTCACCGATTCGTCTGTTGCCTAGTTTTCTTTCGTAATTCACAACACGCATCATTTTATGCCGCGTTGCGTAGTTTTCAGTTTTAGAACAGGTTTAATGCTTGGGGTAAATTTTTTCTATTCCCATGCCATCACATACAGCGCCCACTGATTAAAGACATTCCACTTCACAGATTCTATATGCACTACTGGAACAGAGGTCGATCTTCTTGTAAAGTTCAAAAACTGCTACAATTAAATGTTTGGAAAAATAATAACAAGACAGCAGATACGCAGGTGCAATGGCGAAGTGAAAAGTAGTGGTGGCCGGCCAGATCAAGCTCTTCAGTTGTATTATTGTCATCGGCGGGACCAGTCAATCAAAGGCCATTGACAGGCCTTCTGATAACTGGTCGAACACTAAAGTTCTGTTCTAGCGGGAAACAAGGAATGACGGTTTAAAACTGTAGAACTTGTTCAGCCTGTAATGTGAGATAAACGACAGGATCACACAACAGAAGATCCCTTCGTGGAGCACACAGATTTCTGACAAAACATGAGATTATAAAGAAAAGTTGTCATTTTTATATTTCATTTAGAATCAATCATTTCATGCCAAAATGGAAATTGAAACAACTCACATGTCTACCGGGAAGTCAGTCTGCTACGTGAATATTCCTTTCCACAGAAATCTGCACGTACCTTATAATATACAGGTTATGGATGCTACATAGCACAGAGACGGTCATTCTGACAAAGGACAAACAGTGCTAATTGAGCAGCTTACAATAACGTTGGCTTCGACGGACGATGAAGATGATGTGGCATTGAGCCTTTAAGCCATGACTTTATCCATTGTAGGCGTAGGTATTTCTAGTAGAACTGGAGATCATCGAGATAATGAATGGCCCTGCTTTGATGAAATGGATAGAGCTGGATGGCCTTTGTTCCGGCCCATAACCAGAGAATGGGAACTGAAGTACTTCGGACGACAATGAGGAGGTTACCTTTGACATGAGGGCACGAAATAGACGAAGAATATTCCTCCAGCGGTTCAGAAGGCTAGAGCCTTATGACAGAAGTGTTTGAAACGTGAAAATGCAGGGACTGTCAGGAATCAGTAACGATCTTTGACTGCCAGCCAGTCAATCTTATGGTCCTGACAAGCAACAATAAATCATGGTAGTATTCAACGCTTGACAGTAATTTTTGGCATTTCCAAAAAGGAGGTCTGACAAGCTGTGAAAAACTTGTAAGCATGAATATGCTGAGGCGTAAAGTGCTGCTACTGAGTGATTAACGCCACGCGTGAAGCAGCATAATGGCAGTGAAGTGTAAACACAGGTTGAGGTAAAAAGTACTGACATATTTTAAAATGAATGTTTATGTGCAAAGGGCCTGCGCTGCGCGAAATCGAGGAAAACAACCTCGTCTGCCAGCCAGACATCAATCGTCGCAATTGGCAACAGACCTAAGTGATGGCTGGACAAAGGCCAGGTGAATTTCGCTGTTCGTTTTCGTAGGTGCAGTTTGATCTTCGCCTGACTTGTTGCCAGTAGAAGGAGTCTGCGGCCGACGGAGCATATGCTGTGGATGTTGGTTGCGCTCGCCATGTCATAACAAGGCCTTTGTTTCTTGTCGTGAGGATGAGTTATTGCATCGAGTTTCGTTCCCTGCTACCACCGGTGCTCTTAGCGCGAATCAAGGCGAAAAACGCGTCGTGAAATTTCGCACGCATGCGGCGGTTTACGTGAGGAGCTTTTTGCCGCTGCGGCGTTCGCGTTCAGGAAGTGATTTACAAGCACAACGGACACGGAACTCAATAGTTATTGATTTATGGATATTTTATGGAATAGTTTAACGAGACAAAGAGAGAGAGACCGCCGGTTGATGGAGAAGCAACTCAGGGCAGAAGCAGAAGCACAGCGAGCACCGAATGCACGGCAAAATGAATTATTCGTGTTTCGCCGACCGAAACCGGCCAGAACACCATGACAGAAACGAGTAACGGATGTCAACGCGACCGGCACCGACTACTCCTCGGAACGTCCTCGTCAGCCTCATCCTCGTCATCCTCGTCCTCGTCCTCGCCCTCGTCCTCGTCTTCGTCTTCGTCCTCGTCCTCGTCGGCTAGTCCACACCCGCTTCTGGGATTCGATTGAATTTCCGCTGCTGCTGCCGTCGCCGCTCTCGTTCGACCACCGGCAACTTTCGCCTCTCGTAAACGTCTCAGCACGGACACGGACAGACGCGTCTCGTGGCCTGTCCACCTATTCATGGTCAGCGGTGCGACCATACGCCATTTTGCTGGCTGTTGCAAACACCGTTGTCCGACAGTCGCTCTCCGAACGCTTAAGGCACCGTCAATGGACATTAGCTGTAACGGACAAAGTTGACTGAGGTCATCACTCGACCAACCTCCAGTGCCTTCTTCGGAGTCAGGCCAGCCGACCAGCGACGATGGCAAACCGGCTCAGCCACTACGATGCAATACTGAACACAGCGGACCCTTACAACGACTTCAACCGCCCGAAGACCGCCGCCGACAAGAAGAAAGACTGGATCGGGGTAAGAATGAGTCGTTGACGGTTGTCCTGACGGTCATTCGCCTGGAGATTCGGTTCCAGAGTGATTTCTCGCCGGCACCTGGATCAGTCGGTCGAAACGTCTCTAAAGCGACATCATCGGTGTTTTTTGTTGTCGTTGGTCATTGTCACTTAGGATACAGTAGTCTCAACACCTCAGCTTGTCATACATTAGAAACATCCGATGTTCAAACGTGGATGTTCGGAGTACCATAGGCATCACCCGCTTCCTCAAAGGACACACTCCTTGTCCTTAGAGACCTGTTTCTACTAGGCTTGCCAGCTTTTAATCTGGCCACCTCGTTTGCGCCACGCGATAGGCTCCTGCAGATTGAATGCTCTTGACATGTCTTTTGTGATCTGAGCCATTTTCTCGAACTTTAAATCAAACGTAAGAATGGTGGCCATCGGCGTTGACAGTCGGATTAATTGAGACGTAATCTTGTGATCAAAGAAGGCTGCAGGTTCGACGAAACAGCAGCACGTCGTGACTTTGTCCTCAGGAAATTAGTTCATGGCATGAGTGATGCGCTTTTGCGTCGCACATGATATTCTTGTTATTGTCGGTTTGTCGCCTGTACCAGGCTTTGCCAGAACGACGGTTGTTCAGATTACTCGATGTGTGTGTCCCAGGCTCACCTGTAGAGAAAAGTTTAGAAATGAGTGAAAAGTGAGTGGCACAGTGAACAAGAAGTTCGTCTTCGTCTTTATATGCCTCCTTGTTCAAATCCAAGGCGCAGGTTTCTCGTATTGACCGCTAAGTCACTTGAGCAAAATGTTTTCCCCACTGTGCTGTGGTGCAGCCGACCGTGAAATGGCTAGAAAATCGCCGTTCATCTTTACCCGTTGCCTATAACGTTTAGAAACGCAATACTTGGATTGAAGCGGCCACCGGAGGACCGCTTCCGAAGCCTCGTGTATTTCTGCAGCACCACCGTTTAGTTTGTACGGCACACGTCTGATAGTAAAATGGCATACGGCTTGACTACTCGCTCCATAATCGCATTTGATACGTAAATCACGAGACCATGCCCATGGTTGCCACGAGGTACGGTTCTGGATTAGTTGCATATTTGGAACGAGGGCTGTTACGTTACACGATGCTCGCCAGCTGTCGTCAGTGCTGTCACGATGCCGTGGTTCCGATGTACATCTCGATGTGGCTTCGTGTCACGGTGTCTAATAGATCGGCTTCGAACTGCGGAGCTACTGGGATCGATTCCGGCGGGCTGCGACAGATTCTCTTGAGCAAGGCGTTCACTACACGTTGCTTCGAACCGTGGTTGTTCAGTCAATATAGCGTCAGACTCAGAGTCAACAGATCCTGGTTTCGGACATCGGTCACGATCTCTCGCCTTCCTTTCTTTTGAGTTAGATGAGGGCCACTCTGTGAGAAGAAAATTGCAGACTAAATACCATGCTGTATGTAGTCATGGCTGTCATCGATCCTATCTTTGAAATAAGCTACTTCAGACTGACGACCTAAAAACATAGATCAGAGCCCAACTATTAATTTCATGACAAGAAAGACGCCAGAATTGGCTTTATCACGCAAGTGTAAGAAAGACCGAACAAACTTTACAAACTTTTTCTCTCCGTTGCTTTTGCGATAACCCCAATTCAGATTTTAATCGCGAATTGCATACTTCAGATCGTTTGAAGGCGGTATGAGGGAGAATTAATGCATAATTTCAAAGAAATTAAATTGCACGTCGTCCTACCACTGCTCCTTACACTTAGATGTTGAACTACTATTAACGAGGGCCGTTTGAAGGCTCTTTTTCCTAGCATGTTGTCCAGAGTTATATTTACTGATGGGAGAGGGAGTGACGTGTTTTAACGGCGATGACATGGCATATGGAAAATTAAATGAAATACGAAGCTCGCTGGAAAATGTCCTGAAGAGGTAACACGCTTTGCAGGGTGGAGGGAACCTCTTGACATGAAACTTTATAAGTATGCATACGCATATGTCTGTCCAGACTTTTGCAGCTTGCTGGCTCAAGAATGGTAAATGCAGGTCATCGACAAGGGGCTACACATGGAACTCTATAAACGACTTGAACACTTCTTCCAGTCATATGTCAAACTACTAGGCAAGAAAGACAGGAGATTCAGGGGCTAGGATGTGCTCTTTTATACCAAGCAGTTCAGATGTCCTCCACAGCCATAGCGTGTACCTCAGCCCTCACCGGATCCAGTAACATGGAGGACG